CAATACGTGATTTTTAGACTAAGCCAACCCTAATCGGACTGGTATTAGTCAGTGGCTGTTATGATTTGCATATGCTGTCTATGTCGGCGTTAACTCGCACCAACGCCGTACTACCTGGCAAAACTGTATATCCTGTATTATTTTGAGCCTTAGGCGTCCCAACACTTGGTGAATGCTGAAGAAAAGTAAGTCTAAGGTGTCATGATGGATAGCTTAGAGCAGCAGTATCTTATAAGAAGCACTGAAGAAAACTAAAGCGCCTGCATCCTGTAATCAGGAACCGGTTGCAATAGGCGTTTTATGGGTGGGGCATTACAAGAGGCAGTATGGCATCGTACAAAAATACAGAGTACTAGATCAAGTGATATAAAAGTACGCGCGATAATTTAAAAAAAAACAAACAAGCAACCGGAGACTCCTGCCGGCCATATTCCGGCGTAGCCCTGTCAGAAATCCGAAACTGAAGGGAGGCTAGACTGATCAAAATTATGTAAGTAGAAATGCTATTTTGTAAAGCCACCAGTGTAATTCAATTAAATATAAAGTACGATCATATTTAGCTGCACTAAATGGCAGCACTTATAATAAAACATTTAGTTTTTATTTGTAAGTTAATGGTTTGAACCATGAGGAGGAAAATAGAAGCTCCATGTGATTTTATAAGCTAGACAGGACAATGTATAAATTAATTATCACTGACGCTGTGAAAGAAAACATCAATACCTAGAACTTTTATCAGCGGTAATTGGATGCCCTCGTGGATAATATAATCTACAGGATGTGTTTCGAATGCCCACCATGTTAGCGCGTAGCTTAACGCAGAGTACACGCCGCCACAACGAGGGGAGACCATCGGTCCACCCACGCAGAGAGCCTGCGATGATGTGCACAGCGCGGCCGGCGCAGGACTCTAATGCAAGGCAAACAGCCAGTCCGCCCACACGCCCAAAGTGCATTGTTTGATGCTGCGCTGAACTGTTGCCAAGTGGTAGAATCACACGCCAATTCTCATGACTCACCCAGCCAATGAAGTCATGAATTTCTTGTGGACACTATCTAATTGGTCCAACCTTGTACATACACGTCCGCTTGCTTTAAGTTATGATGTATTAGGTTTCTTAAAGACTTGCGCTTTCTGCACACTTCTTTTTGTGCTCTTCCTTCGGGGCTCACAGGATGCGTAGTTAGAGGACAATTATTGCAGCCTTGGCCACCGTTACAACACACCGTGCACGTTACGTGTGCACATTAATTGTAGAAAATGCTGTAAGCTTGTTTTAATGCAAATCAGGAAGGCCGTTAAACCACATATCGCCAAATGCTGTTGGCATTCACCACAGATACAACTGAAATCGTACGTATTGCAAACGACTCGCAACGCTATTGGTTTTGCTTTTAAACATATCTATTATGCAGAGCTGACAACCGATAGAAGCGAAAAAGCCAATTCCAGCACTAGTTCAGAAAATGGAGATGGCTGGAACAATAAAGTTATTTGCCTGAGGTTTCGTACTCTGGCTTATACCCATCTTCAAAGATACCCGCAGAATAATTTGATTGGCGCCGAACGTGTAGATGGGACACGCCCCTCAAACATAGCTGCCTCTTCTGCTAAGAAAGGGTTTCAGTCCGGAATATTGGAACGGCAGGTCACTGCGCATGTCGATCGATTGCGAGCCTGAGAACCGTTGCTCCAGCAGTTCATGGTTCATTATAGCATTGCGTCATATTAGACACGTTAATTAAGCGTCATTGATGGAAGGGTTCTAAAGCACGCTGAAAGTCTCACGTGTATTAGATTGTTCTGCAGAACTGCTTCTTGGTGTAGCCACGCATTTTTTGAAGTATAGTTCTTTTTTATTTACGTCAGCAGGTATTATGCACCGGCGCATAAACAAAACCATAAACGCGCAACAAACTCACCGTGTAGACTGCCACTAGTGTGCCAATAAGGATTCCCGCCAGCACATCAGTCGGATGGTGCTTGTAGTCGGAAATTCGTGTGATTGCCACATAGGTGCCTGTGGCGATTGCTGCCACCTGCAAGAAGTTTCGCATAGCCACTCCAAGGTCATTCCGCGGAACACGATAGTAAAGATATATCTGTTGAAATAAGGAAATATCAAGGAGTCTGCGTCACTACTTCCGTTAGCACGCATTTTTTTCAGCAAAATAACTGTTGATTTCTGTGAACAGTATGCGCAACCATGTGTGGAACCTGCGTTCTGGTGGGCGAGAGCATACAGGACATATACTCATGAGTGAAACGCATGAGAAGTAGAAGACGACTCGATCGATCGCGTTTTATTCTACTTCACAAATAAAACAATCGTTCCGGGGCAAAACGAACCCTCGCTATGTTTACTGATAAAAGAGGTGTCTTAATTCGTGAAATTAGTCAATATTCGCTACAATTCTGGCCGCCGGCCGACATGCTGTGAATATGAGGCAGTAATTAATGAACAAAAGCTTAACTATTATTAGAATCTTCAGCAATCAATCTAGTAAAACTGTGGTGTTAAAGAAAAGTACTGAAGAACCATTATTTTATCGTGAACTAAGCATTAACCAGATTTATATACTTGCATTGATAAACCAATAATGTTGTGTGTATTCGGATGTAATTTCATGTTTTTGCACCTTTTTTCTCCCATATTTTTTCTCTACCGTTACACTGGTGGAGAATTAAAAGGGTTTATTTTAATTTAAAGCAGTAATAAGTGATGTTAACCTACCGCAATAAATGCAGCAACAAACATAGAAAATCCAGCATGTCCGGATGGAAACGAAAGCCTGGCAAAATAGCAGACCAACGTGATATACGTGTCATGCTGTTCTGTTAACATACATTTTTGTTCATCAACTTTTTGAAATTAAAAAAACTGTCAATTTTTCCCACTCTTATACAGGAAAATGGCAGAAATCCTTTCGTCGTACCACCGTTTGCATGCCTAACAAATAAAAATGCTTATGTGAAATACTGATTATCACCAGTCTTGTAAAGAGTCTTCTTAACTGTTTCTCTTACAGTACACCACTTCTCTCATAATGCAGTCAACGTAAACTCCAAAAGTTGCTCTTCTTTTTGACACATAACTTTGACAGGGTGGTAGTACTGTATTTAAAATATGCCAGTCACCTCAAGCAAACTTCTTATTGGCTACCTGCAACAATCGTAAACTATTAAATGGCCTTTTATGCAGGTTGTACATATTATTGATTGATCGGAAGTAACCATATGTATTCAAATACATTTATCGCAATGTTTACACAAAATATTATTGTTGCATATCTAAAACAGGACAAGACAGAAGAATGTATTTGCGCAAATAAATTTCCAGAGTACTGATATACTGCGTCCTCTCTGTGCATGAATAACGAAACAATTCGATAACAAATAATTTTGATGACCATTCCGGTCTCCCTTTGCTTTGTCGGATCCACGTCTTCATCATATCACCT